TGCACCATGGTATGTTTTGGCTAATCCAAACCTGCATAAACCAGTGAAAAAGCAAATTACAAAGTGCAGCATTAGCTCGAAATGACTGAAGCCCGAACACGCTCGAAGCGTTTCAAACAATTAGTTGGGTTCACTTAATTCCTAATTTCTACTAAACAAAAAAAGTTAAAAAAATGAAATTTTCTGTCGTGAAAAGGGGACAAATTTATTCGATTTTTGTATGTTATTGCAAGTTAATTCGCGCAATTGACGAAACGCTTCAAACGGAATTTGCCTGTTATCACTGAAAAATGCAATCCGAGACGACTTGTCTGGGCAAAACAATTCGATTAAAATAGAGTAATAAGTTATTGTTAACTAAGCCGATTTAACTTGATTATTGACGATAGTCCCCAATACTCTGATAACACGCTTTATTTAAAAAAATATATATTCCCACACATCTGTTTAAACGCTGATTCATGATATCGAGGGCAGTCAGCTTATTTTTCAAACCTTTCGCAGGTCGTCGATTTTGAGCCTTGGCTCTATTTTGGTTAAAGGATGTTGAGATATTTAATTTTCATTATATAAATCAAATATATTTTTCTGAGTTTTCCGATGCGATTACTCTCGAAGAAACCTGAGAAATTTTGTAACATTTTATACATTTCATATAAAGGCTGTACCATCATTGGTAACTTTGTTACTAGTGGAGACTAGGCCTGGGTAACTCAGTGAATTTTTAGGAGTTGGCGCAGTGCGGCGCAAATGGCTTGGTACCCCAACCCAACGCACCGGCGCAGTAACTCAGTTTCGTTGCTGGGAAAATGTTGATGACCTTTTTTTAGTTGCTTTTAGATTTATTTGAGAAAAATGAAATAATTAATAACATTTTGAGAGTTTCTTCAAAATTTCGGAATTTTCCAGTTTTAGTTTTAGTTACTCTTTCTTCCAAACGCTCAATTTTCTCAAGTTTCACTAAAAATACTGACAATCTTAAGGTATTTTCCGCGAAAAATTATGAAATACATTTTGTTACAACCTTAGCCTCCTTCGTCCCTTTGTGAAAAGTTTTAAAATCTCTTTCCAGCTTCGAACTTGGGACAAAAATGAACAGAATTAGCAAAAGTTTATAACAGATTATTTCGAAATCTCGTCACCTCCATTCCTCTGAGAACTGTAGTTTGTTAAAAAATGTGGCTTTTTAGTTTTGACTGAATTGTTTTTGCTTTACTTTCAACTCCAAAACGCTCTATTTTGTACAGTTTCACTTAAAAATACTGACGATCTGGAGGTTTTTTTCGCGAAAACTAGAAGACAAATTTATAGCTTGTAGGAATTTTACAAAAACTTTGTCAGCGTCGAGTTTGGGACAAAAACGAAAATAGAACCCGAAAGTTTTCAACCAAAAAATCATAAAATTAATTTTGTTAGAAAAGTCACCTCATTCATCGCTTAGCAGGGAACTTTAGAAAACCCTTTTCAACTTCAAATTTGGCACCAAAAAAACAAATAATTTTATTCAGTTTTTTACCGAAATTAATTAAGATTATCTTGAAAAAAACCAAAAAATTATTTGGAAACTTCGCCGCCCTGATCACTCTAAAGATTGTTACAGTTGCTTTAAAATTTCTGCTCTTTCCAGTTTTAGTAAAGTTTTCATTAAGCAATTATTTCTACGCCAAAAACGCATTATTTTAAATTTTAGTTCAAAATAGTTCCTTCAATTTCAGTCTTCAGGTATTTTCTGTGAAAAATTATTAGATACATTTTATTGGGATCCTCCTTAACCGCTTTGCAAAAATTGTTGAAAAACATTTTACAGCTTCAAATTTTGGACAAAACTCTAATAACTGTTTCTGGGTTTTTTCCAAAAATATTCACCCGAACAGAAATAGCGCAAGTCTATAATCATTTATTTGGAAAACTCTTGGAAACTGGGGTTTCTTCACTTTGGTCAATATTTCTTAACAAAATCTCTCTAAGCAGAAAAACCGCGTTTTTTCCCAACGTTTCACTGTAAAATACTGGCAAACTGAGTCTTTTATGCAAAAAATAGATTGATTTTACAAGAAAACGTCGACTTTCTTTGGACTAAATTATATTGCTGAGAAAATCTAGGTGTCCTTTCTTAGTTGTTTGGACAAAGTAGTAAACCGTTACTCATAAAAAATTATCACCTTTTTTTTTAGTGGTTAAAATTCCGGTCTGGGGTCTCGTAAGGCTTTAATGGGCTTATAAATTTTAATAACTCATTAACCGATGAGTTATAACTCGTTAACTCTGAGAGCTGCAACAACTCAATAGCGCAACTCAACACAGTGTTACCCAGGCCTAGTGGAGACACTTGCTAATGGCAAGGAGTTGAATTTTTTCGGAAATTAGAAGTACAGTTAGTTTGTAGAAAATGTTTTCATAACAGATCACTCACTGTGCAAGTGATCGCGGCGATTTTAAGAGCCCAAGAAAAAACAATTGTAACGAGTTGTTTTTTCCAGAATCTGCGATCAAGTGGCATAGATGATGTTTGGAATTTCAATGTTCCCACACAAAACCCCCCAAGTGATTAAAAATCAATCAATGAAATGGACACCGAGCCAACGTTTATGCTACTCGTCACACAAACGGCCTCCTGCAAATAATCAGGCAGCGTATCATTGAAGAATGCCGTCTAATTACCCTCCACATTCGTAACAAAATTTGTTGAAATGCGTTTTCGTGGTTGAATGAAAGTGGAAGATGTACGTTTGTCTCAATGCAAGCCAAATATTCGTCTTAGAGAAAGAGAAGAAAATGATTTCCCAACAACCATATTTAAAAAACATGAAATGTAATTTACTAAAAAGGGTTGTTCTGGTGAATCTGCATTTAACTCTAAGATGTGTCTATTTGGGAAACATAATCGACAAGGCCCGGGAGCTTTGCAAAGTTTTCAGTGGGACACCGGGTATAGTGTGCCAATAAAATGCAATATTTTAAAAAGAGCCCAGAGTTTTGATGAAAGTTAATGACTTATTCGTCTATTTAACCAAAACGGGAAACATGCCAAGGACGATTGCTTGCATTTGGGAGTGTAGAGGAACGTTCAGGAGCACATGGCGGCTGTAACCCATTGATCATGGCTTAACACAGATGTTTTTAGACCTAAATTGCTGAAGATGTAAGGTGCAGATTCTCTCCTTTAGATATAGGATAAGAAACGTTTCCTTATAGCCGGATTCAAGTTTCTCGATAATGTTTAGAGCAAAATGACGGTTGGAGCTACATTAAAAGTGCAACATTTGGAACGATTTCTAACTTGAAAGTTGTGTGGAAAAAACTATGAATAATCGAAAACACCCTGAATCTTAGAAACAAAACGGTTCACCACATATGTGTATAGAGCAAACTTAACTGGCTCACTTTGTTTACAGGGTGCCTCGTAAGCACATGATCAAAAGGATGCTGCAATATTATTTGCATCAAATAAAGACGATCAGACCTAACTTATTAACAAAAAATAGCTGGCTTCTCTGCTATTGATGGTCAAAGCTCTTCAAAAATATTATCTCTTTTTAAACATGGTGTCTAACATTGTTACGTGGTAAGAAAACAGACATTTTTTTGCGCAAAAACTATGAATGCTACAAGATTTTACAAAGCACATAAAATTGTGAATAAATGATTAGTGCACCAACCAAAAAAAAAATGAGTTGATTCCATCCACTAAATAAAAAATTCTGGTAGTTTTTATACTACGACACTCACGAATGCACCACTTGTCCAAAACGGAACTCGGTTGTTTCGACCAAAATACGAGTCTTACAGAAGAACAAATTCACAGCGAGTTTCACCAAAATACATCGTACATTCTCCCGATATTTCAAAAAAGGAAATTTGTTTGAAGAACTTTGACCATCAATAGCAGATGAGCCAGACATTTTTTGTTGATAAAAGTTAGGTCAGATCGTCTTCTTTTGATCCAAAGAATATCGCACTACCCTTTTGATCATGTGCTTACGGGACACCTTGTATGTAAAATATTATTGAACTTTCCCTTGGTAGAATGCAAAAACCCCATCTTTCCAAAATCGAGAATCTCTTGCAATAGTAAAGTATGCAGCAAAGTAAAATGAAGCAGATAAAATTCAGAAAGCCGGAAGAAACAGGAAAACTTGCACTGCATAATTCGAACATACCAAAATGCATGATTGTTAAATTAAGACCAACCAGTTGAGAAAACTATACTTACACTAACTGGTACCAGACACTGAACTCAAGATCACTGTAAAACTGTGCAGCAGCATGCAAAGTGGCCTCTTTTATACTGTTAGGGCAGTAGAGGGGGTACAAGGCACTCGTCCAACCAATCAGATCCTCACTTTTCCCACTACCTAACCTAAGTGTAGGTAACCACCGAAGGAGTGGAGTATATTTCTAATATATATTTTAAAGATTTTAATGACTCATTCCCAGGCCCTTTAAATTGCATGCCCATCTAAGTGGTTCTTAATAGACCCTTTATTAGCTCGTTATTCAACAATCGGTTTTTAATTACTAGTTGTATTTGCTAACTTTCTCTTATCGTCGCATTTCGAAGAATGGGAAATGAAGACGTCTTAATCGGTTATCTAGTTGGCTAAAGCCCTTTGACCCATTCCTTATCCCTTTGTCAGAAGCTTTAGTAATTTTGGAAAAATTGTAGGCAAAATTCTGCTAAGGAAGCTTGCAATGACTGTTGGAACTGAAATCGAACTACTGGGCCCTATAATCTACTAAAGGAGTATTTATTAGTAATGCCGTAATAAATTCTTCGAAATATTTCTACTGTATGTTTGTCATTAGTCAAAGAATCCTCTTATCGCATCACTTATTGAATCGAGCCAATACCTTGTCAATGTTTTGACTAAAGTCCCTGTTTAACAACCGTTCTAATCGCTTTCAGTCCGAACTCTTTGCGATAAGATTGACCAGTAGACAATTGCAAGGAAGCAATAAAATTAAATCTGCTGCGTTGCTAATCGGAATTTTTTTTGCAGGTCGGCTTTAAAGGATTTGGCATTCCAGAGGATAAATTAAGCTTAAGGGCTAAGTTTATGTTTGACGGAAAGCAGTACAGTATCGGCCATGGGAGTGTCGTTATTGCTGCCATCACTTCTTGTACCAACACCAGCAACCCCAGTGTGATGCTGGGAGCAGGACTTTTGGCCAAAAAAGCCGTGGAAGCCGGATTGACCGTAAGATCATCGATGTACATTGCTTTTTTTTCGGTTTTCGATTGGCTTTAGGAAATGCAACTCCCAGAGGTGGTGTTGGGTGGGTTTGCCAAGAAAAACTTTCCCTCAGCGCTGCAGTCATCCGGCTGTTTACTGCCTGGTAGTTGTGTCCTCGACTGTTACCCTTGTGAATAACCCTGAAGTGGATTTACCATTTATGCTCCTGAGTATTATCTATTTATTTACTTCCTCCTTCTAGTCTTCTTTTTTATGGCAACCTGCCTCATATGGAGGCTCTATGAAACGGTTTTTATATTTGATGTTCTAAGGAAATCTGGTTCTGGTCGTTTCTTTAAAACAAGGGCTAATTATTTTGTTCGAACCAAAGAATTTTTGAAACAATGTATTATTCTTCCTAACCTTCTTCCAAGATACCCGATGATTCGTTAACAATAGGACTGGAGACGACAGTCGATATTTTCGAAAGAAGGCTAGAAACTTCAAATTTCGCTGTTCTCCTTAGGAGTCCGACTTGCGTCCAATTTTGTCGCCCTTTAGAGTAACCCATTAGTGTATAGCGTCCCTTTAAAGGGACCGCCCTAAAATCATCTGTTTCGAAAACGTGTGTTGTTTATAACAAAAGCTAACAAATTTATATGGTTAATTGTATACCTATTCAGCATAGTTTTGTCAATTAAGTAAGATACTGCAATAAACTTTAAAGTAACCAGTGATATTGTTAGTGAGGGATTGCTGGCAATATTCTAAAAGGGGCAATGGGTAAGTATTTTTAACAAATTTGGGAAAATAATGTATAAATTAGTGTTTCTATCTTAAATATAATGACAATATATACTACTTTTTGATACTATAGCATGATATATTTATTTTTTTATTTTTATAGTTTAAAAAGTTAGTTAAATTTTTCGACTTTGTTTATATTAGCTTCTTCAATGCCTTGAAGATGATGATAATGACCCGGAAATACATATATGGAAAGTCTCCTGAAGATGGAAATTAATCGGGTGCAGACAGCGAGTTATCTGATGATGAACACACAGCTAATTTGGACCATCTTCCTGGTAACTTACTAAGAGCCCAGTGTGAAGTAATAAAAGGATTCCATCAGAATCGCCAGGCAATATCGATGAAGGCGAATATAGTTCTGATGATGATCTACCATCAGAGCTCCGAAAAAAGCTACAGAGTGCACAAACTGTTACTACTACTAACTCAAAAAAGATAAAATCTAAAGTGGGTACGCACTGCAAAAAAAAACAAAACCATAAATCTTACTACAAACGAAATGTTTATTTTCATTGGTGGAAAGCTGTTGTCTGGTTATGCAAAATACCCAAATAGAAGATGCGCAAAATGAAGATGAAACTAGGATGCGCCGACGAAAATGGTGGTGGCCAATTTATTTCTATTTTCCAGATGTTTCGGTTGTAAAGTCATAGATTCTTATGAAAAATTGCAATCTAAATAATGAAAACTGTGCGATTTGTTGAACTTTCGACGTTACATTGCGATTTTTTTGTGATATCATATGGAAAATCTTCCAGAGGAAGAATAGCTCCCGTACCTTTAGAAGACGTAAGATACGATGGAAATAATCATTGGCCAGACTATTCTGAGACAGATAAGAGGTGTAGGCAGTGTGGAAAGAAATCAAATTTTATTTGTTCCAAATGTAATAACTGTTTTACAGGTACAGTGTCCCTATAAGGAACCCTTTAAGTTTATTTTAATAAACTTTTTTGCAAAACATGTGTAGTATTTTATTCTTTATAATCTTCTACAACCAATTATGACAATTTAAGTTTAAGTCAATGGGAAACTTCATACACTAATGGGTTAAGAACGTTTCACACTGTAGTTGTAAGATCAAATTTAGGTCCAAACCTAATAAACGTCCAAGCATTTCTGCATAAATCCACTACATACAAACATCAGTTTTCTATCGATATTTCGATCCTTTTTTGACAAAAATGGATTTAACGAAGGGTCAGTTTTAATAATTTTCGAAAATTATAAGACACAAATCAATTTGCACTAGTTTATGTAACAAAATATCATCTTTTCCTGCAAAGAAACAGCCAATGCTTCAATGTTTTGGGGTGGATTTTGATTTGATCCCCTAGAGAAAGAAATCGACTGGTGTTAGGTTATTTTTGGTGCATGAAAATTAATAAAGTGGCAATTCCAAGCTAAACTGCGCTGATGAGGGTTAATAGGCCAGAATGTAGCGGCTGCAGAGGGCTATTTTCGGGTTTGTTTAGGAACTTCTTGTCTCTTCTTATTTTTTCACATTCTTCATTTAGTTTTTGAGTTATTTAATAAAACTCTTCAAGCCACACAAGTCTGGTGACCCCGGGGGCCATTCAGGTGAACCAGGCCGACCATGCAGCGATTTCGGAAATTTGTTGTTTTAGTATATCCGAAATGTTTTATGTTAAAATATGTGTTGTAAGTTGTTGAATGTCAGGAAAATATTTCAAAGAAAATGAATCAAAAATTAACCCATTTACTGATATCAGCTTTAACGGTGCTCGAATGGAGGCACGCAAAGAGCAAACAGTTTCAACACTGCGCGGAAAAGTGGCAAATAAGTTGGAAAGCTCTATGCACGACAAGATGTATGCAAAACAATGCTTCTTCTTCTTCTCTTCTTCCTCGTACGTTAGGACTCAGAGTCCTGTGTTTTTCTTCAACTTCCTAGTCCTGGGATGCTGATGTCCAGCTTTCGTACCATCGCTTCG